TTCACTTGAAAATTAAAGAATTTCATTTCTTTGAATATAACACATCAAACCTGATGAAGATACCTTGAATGCTAGACCGGATGTGTTTGAACAATATTTACTTTTTTCCAATAAATACAGTAAATTCGTTGATACACCTGTTTCTTCAGTGAGTTTTTTTTACATGTGCAGGATAGAGTGAATTTTCGCTGCCAGAAACATTATTACTAATAGTTTATACAAATAAAAGTCATATTACAAGGCATACGTTTAATAATGAAGGTTTTTGACTCGTAAGTATAAATTATACATTGAAATATTTTGATCGACGTTTTAAAAAATGAATATTTTTCGGGCATAATTCCTTTAATATTGTATTATTGCACCCGTAAAAATGCACAATCCGCATTCTCATCTTAAAGGGGAACTTTCTGAAACATTTACTTGTGCAATAAAGTATGGCGTTTTCAACGAGTTACTTTATTATCTTAAATTGTTGTGTTACCATGACCTATTCGAAAATCACATCTCCGAGAAAATGGACGTTTTAGTAAATAAATAAAGCAATTACATTCATATTGGTTGCTAAATGTCGAACATTTTCATGACCATTAAGCAGAACTCGAGTAAGTTTTATTTTACCTGTAACTTTGTGTTATTCCTTCCTTCAAGATCTCTAGCCTCGGGCGGGATGTCCCATCTCACCCAAGCTTGCGAAGTAAGGACTTGCCCCCTTTGGGATGGGATGCATATTTATACATTTTTTATCCGCATCTAATAAATGGACTAAAACGGTGTACGAACGTGGGTTCTCATTAATTTCTCATTACGAGAGTGCTGCGCGCTAGGAAGTAAAAGGAAAATGAAAGGAGCGGATTATTAAGAGCATCATAACAGTTTTCTTGTTATTAACGTTTTAAGGAAAACGTCCTCTTTATTTCTAGCACAGGGAAAGTTAATACGGAATCTGTTGGTCACTACAAAGTATCTACGTGAAGTAGCAGATAGATTCACACGTTTAAGTGGCACGTAAAATCTTTTCTGCTGTATAACTCTTTTAATTCAACTAGATACTACACCGAGAATTGAAGAGGAAAGTAATATTGATTTTGACAAAAACATTCAATGTATTAATTACAATTTCGACTGTGTAATTCTAAAACAAAAATTATGCCTATTACAAGAATTGTACCTCAGCTTCTGGGTCAATGAATTCCATCTCGAACACGTTTCTTGTCATATTTTCCTCATCGTTTGAGCGAATGCAGAGATGGCCGTTTTTTTCTTTCGCCCATACGTGTAACATCGCTATCTGTGCAGGTTTTCAAGAGTTCAGTGGGAATATCATTATTCAAAATATCGCCCTCCATGCTCCGCATGAAGGGATCGCTGCTGTCTACGTGGTCACTGTACCTGGTGGAGAGTTGCAGACGACCACCCGGACTGAGTTTCTCGGCGGCACTCGCGTCGATAGCTTGAATATGGAGGCAGCCATTAGGCGATGCTAAGCTCCTGATTGCCGGACTTGAACGGTATCCCACCAGTCGGGCCTACGGTGCGTCGACTTTGGGCAGGATCGGGTGGAGACGATTATTTGGACTTCTCCGCAATCCACATAGAGAAGTCTGGAGCCCCAAGACGGCCGAACCTTAGTTCTCTTGGATCCGACTTGGCAGTGGCCCGATTCTCTCGGCAAAGAGGAGGAACTCGTTCCAGGCGCATGTGAGGGGCGCATTGATGCGACTCCGCTACTAGCCCGGAAAGCTAGTAGCTCTGAGTTGGCAGGGCGGCTCCAACCGAGGAACGAATGGAGAGGTTGCCGGGAGGGCAAACTGGGTGCCGGCGGGATCCGGATCCGGGAACAGCCAGTCGGCGTACTCGTGTGCCAGCGGAGGGTGCGGATAGAAGCAAATTGATAAGGTGCCCACCCCGGGACTAGTGCACTCTGGTAGAATGAGTGTTAGGGTGGTATTGTAGCCCACGCAGGGTTCCTACTATTGCTCTTCATGTTCTTGCGGTAGTAAGTTGATTCCTTCACGAAGGGTACGATGAGGAATAATATCCTATGTCTGTAGTTGATTTGTCCCTTAAGATAGTTTTTATTACACGGATGCGAATATTTTCTTATCAATTCTTGCCAAAATCACTCTTTCCATCTGTATTCATAATTCAAGTTGTACATAGGTTAGTGTAGGGATCCCATAATTCAAGAAGACGTGCACAGAATACACTTCTTCCCATAATACATCAGACCATTTTAACTGTTTTTCACGTTAAATAAATAAAAATAAACATTAGATAAGAAATAGAGATGACTAACTATACCAGCACAGAAATCCAAACACAAGTACTGTGAACACAAAAGTCAAAATAAAATCAGTTTGCGAAGCAATATAGATATTAAAGAACTACTAAGAACATATTGGGGAAACACGTTAAATAATTGTTCTGATGGAAATTTAGGATCTCATTTCAAGAACTCTACATGTCACTGCAACACTGTTTAATTGAGGCTTTTATATTTTTGAATGGTTAACTGCTTTAGGCAACTCCAGAGCAATTGTGAGTGGAATGATTTTGTGGTATACGTGGTGGTTTTCCCTTACCTTCCATGCCACAATAGCAATTTGAAATCATCCCTACCTCGCAGGACTCCACAACGTTTCAAATTGTGCACAGCGTTTGCCTCCACAGACAATCTGTATTACGTAGTACTGTCTACGTAGGGCTGTAACTTTATCTATTTATTTTTATCTAACGCCAAAAATGTTAAAAAGTATGTAATGAATGCGAGAGAAATATAATCTCTACAATTTGTTTAGAGCTACAGAATTCCTATGCCGGCTCTTTTACTGCATTGAGTTGAATAGTAAAGGCATCAATGCTGATACGGATAGCCGAGATCACTAAGGCAGTAGTGCAGTGGCTACATCGGAGGAAAAAATCGCGGGTTTGAGTCCCGCCTCGGGCATGGGTGTGTATGTGTATGTCTTTGTGTAGTCCTTACGTGTTGTATTCCTCCTACAGTTACCCCAAAGAAAAAATAACAGTCAAAGTGGTCACAATAAGACCGAGTAGTTAAAAAGTGGCCTAAACAAATGTCCTTGACCGTGGGTTTGGCCACATTCTATAACAAGAAATATTCACTTCGAAGTAATCGAAACTATTTGCAGCGGCAAATATACTACAGATTTTGCCTCTTATTCCGTGCTTTAGGTGAAGGAATTCACTTACTACCGCAACAACACGGAGAACGATTATTTTATTGCACTGCTGACGAAATAACTAACTTCCCCACTAATGCCACTCAGATCTCAAGAAAACGTTGGCAATTATTGAAGCTAAATTTACAATCAAAAGCCAAGCGATGGACCATCTCAGCATTTGTTCAATGTACCACGTAAATCGCGATGAAAAGAAGTCAGGTGCGGGATGTCATGAGAAAAGCCGTCTCTTAAACCTAGTCGTTTTGAATGTAATGAAAAACGTGCTCTCTGGAAATACTGGCTGAATAAGAGGGCAGAAAGTAAAAAAACAGAAAATAATAGATGTGACTTAATATAATTGTTTTGTAGCAAGGCTACGAAGAAGCTACGAGAAGCTAAGAGACAAGAATTCTAATTCAAAACATGCTATTCGCACAATCAACAGAAAAAGATTGCATTTGTTCTCTTTAACATCGTATACTAAATTTTCCAGAGCATTTTTTAGATAATCGGAATACTTGGAACACACAGAATAAAAGAAATATGGTACGATACTTTATGTACTATCTCGAATTTCGTAATAATCAGAGTAACATCCCCTTTGAAATGTTCTATGATGTGTCAAAGTAAAACACAAATGAAATTAACGCTACCCACGAAACATATTAGAATACCTACATATTCACCGCTAAAATATAACTTTTTATTAAAATCTTAAAGAATATTTAAATAGTATATTTTCAAAATATCTCAGTTATCACCTCTTTCTTCTACAGAATATTAGCAACGGATCCGAATATTGCATTCACAGAAAATCATAAAATAATCGAGGAGCACTGTGTTGGGCTTCATCCGGTGTAGCAGTTAGATTTACCACACTACGATATCATAACCTTTATATATATATATATATATATATATATATATATATAATATACATATAGACGGGAAAATAGGGTAAGACCTCATAACTCCTGTCATTTTATTCATTAGGAATATCTAATTATGTGAATTACTACTACTAAATCTATTCGTTAACCTCCCCATTGTAATAGGGTTACAGGTTTTTACGTTGATTCTTTGGCTAAAATAAACAAAATTTTTGTATTTTTTCAAATGATAGCTGTTTTTTACCCAACTATACTATTACTGTCTCTTATTCAAATATTCGACTGCTTCCTTGCTTTTGTGTATTTTCTAAAGCTTCTTAGTAGGAATATTCACTTACGACGAAATTAAGTTGCAATTACGCAGCTAATTCCACGCGGGTTTCCAGTTTGGTCGCTGAATTGACACTAATAACAGGTCATTCGGTTCGCAACAGAAAGGCTTCTATTTGTGCCTGGAGCCATAAAAACGTCCTTGGACGTCTCTTCCCCCGCCGGCGCCGCGCTGCGTGGGCGTGTGTGGCGGGGCGGGGGGCGGCAGGGGCGGGGCAGGGGTGGAGGAGGGGAGGGTGAGGGAGGGGGAGGGGGAGGCGGGTGCGGGTGGGGGACGGGCACGGGAGGCTCTGAGCCCGACATCCGGCCGCGTCGGCCACCGTTTCCGGCGGCCGGCGGCGCCGCAGCCAGCCGCCGAACGGGAGGCGGGCGCGTATAAGAGCGGGGCGTGCAAACCTCGCCAGCCACACTTCCTCGCCTCCTTTTCCGTTTCGCATCGCAGACCGCATCGGCAGCATGCAGCAGCGGGTGTGCAGGTGGGTCGGTGGCGGCAGGAGCGTTTGGCGCGCGGCGGCACGGCGTTGATAGGCAACACGTCGGTCCGGCCCGGGGGCGTCGTCGTCCTCCGGCGTCGGCGTTGGCCACCGGCGCCGGCATGAGACTGGTGTACGGCACTGATCAGCAGTGGCGAGGGCAGGCCGCGCCCTGGGCTGCCTCAAGCTGCAGCATCAAGGTGAGCACGCGCCTTGTCCGGAACTTCCCTGCCCATCACGGAAGGATTGGCGCTTGTGCGATCCGAAGGTAAGTCCAGATGGCGCCTGGAGAGGTCGTGAAGAAGCGAGATCGACGTGGTGCTCGAACCAGTGTCGCGTCGCTGTGTGGGGGGAATGCCCGATCATTTGGATTATTTAATCAGCAAAGATTGACTCTACTTCAAACGTGAATTTGAATGTTCATGTATTCTCATTCCCACTTCCGTTTATTAAGACGAAACAAAATGTATGTATATTTGGAGGAGTCATCCAATTCCATTACACCACTTCCGGTGACAAGTTCGGGTCGCAGCCAAGGTCTATCGAGATAATGGGAGCTGTCCAATTATATCGATAACATCCTTGAACAGTGTACAATCCAGTGGTATTTCATGCAGTGATTCACTATCCGACGTCCCAGTGCATCTGTTGCACTCATAAAAAACACCTATGATTCGAGCACCACGGGCATTTTCTTGACTTCATGAAATTGCCGTCTTCTCTTTGAAATTGATTGAATATTTGTGTACGATTGGAGCAGTATTTACAGAATATTTCTTAAAAGTTAAAAGCATATGAATAATAGTGTTTATTTGCACCTTTATAGAGACATGTGGAGACGTTAGAATGTTGCTGAATATTTCCTGATCTCTTAAAATATGACGATAACTGAAGAATACTCTCCCTAACTTTTGACTATTATTTTGAAGTCTTAACTTTTGTGCAGTAATCAGTGATGTCCAATATAACATCAATGTTCTGGTTTTTTAAGCGTTAAATGTTAAATCGGTAAAGAATCTATTCCTAACAATTTTGAAAATCCCGAAAGGAAATTACCTAAAGTAAGGAGACTTATTTTTGCTGTAAAATCATTTAATTTTAACAAACTAAAAAAAATAACGAAAATATTTTTGTAGAGCTAATTACACATGACAATACTGGTACATTTCTCACAATAAAATCACTTGGATGTACAATGGAAACGTTCATCACTAACAAAGCCGGATCAGGCTGTTTTTGTTTTTAAGTGAGGGAAGTCTGGGTCCAAGTCGTGATCTTTCAATCTTCTCTGAATCTTTCCTTCTGCATCCCTGCATCTTTCTTTGCCTTTTCAAGTTTTTTAATTCACTTATTCAGTTCTTCATTAATGCCTACGATCAAAATTGTAAACATGTTGTTATTGGATCGGGAGGAATCAGAATCATCACGTCACAAACATATCATCCTGGTGTTCCTCCACAATCCGCGCGCACGTTCACAGAAGGCCAAGTTTACCACGTGCAACGGAGGCATGTTCTCGTTCGAGGACGTGGTTATGGAATGGGATGTTCTACGTCCAGGCCTTGGAAAATGAGGGGGCGGAAGGAATGGTCACGCGCAAATCGGAGACCGTGAACTTCTAATTATCTGATAATCACCTACTGGAAACTGGAATCCCCTCTCCGAAAGCCAGTCTTCTCACATTACGTGTGGACATTGGTTTCGAGTGACCCAGTTTACAAACTGGTCACTGCCATTCCCTTTAGGGATACAGGGCAGTATGTGAGAGTGTCTTTTACCTTATATCATCACAATTTTCTCGTATTAAAGAAAATGATTTTTCTTTCGCCTTACATCCCATTCCAGTACGGGATGTGAGTCATTGATTTATTAACTTTACACTGGATAAAAGGAAACAGTCTCATGAAAAAGTGTGATAGGTCAAATCCCCAAATATGAAGAAAAGTAAAATATTTTTGAATGTGTAGGTTGACAGAAATGTTCGTATTTCTAGGTTATGGGAATCAATGTGACGGCGCTTTTTATGTGTACTGTATGGGCGCTGTTTATAGTATATATAAGTACGCATGTCGAATGAAATTAGAACCGATTACATTTTGTTTGAAAGTTCAAACTTCTGCATCACACTTCTCATAGTGATATAATTAGATAATTCTAAATGCCCATCTCTCTTATCAACAATTACGTGATTTTCTATTTAAACTGACATCTTTATGAAGTTGAGAAATTTAAGAAATTAAGTAATGTCTTTATGTAAAACATGACTAACGTTTGCCATATGCAATGTTGCCCAAATATTATGATCACGTGACATTAACTATTTTCGACCCTCTTGCATTCACGGGACATACAACCAAGTGAGCATTTGGCCGTGCGAGTCAATATTTCCGATTTACTCATTTAAGACTGAAAAATATTGCATAAATAAGTAATAATCAATTGAGATCTGAAATTTAAAAGATATTCCTTCTCCAATCCCACGTTTCAACACCACAAACTTCACCACGAAATACATCTCACAACTTTACTAACTACACGAGTAGATAAAATATGTTATGTGAGGACTCGGTGGAGGGAAATATTTCCAAGAGCCCCTTTGCCGATCTCTCCTCTCATAACAAAAACGTTTCTTAGTAGTGGCCTCCAGCAGCGAAAATGCTACTGAACAAATACCACAAAGAACAGTTTTCCAAAATATAGCACTCACACTTACACAAAAAATATTCTCGTATAACACAACAATAAATTTAATATTTTAACAAAAACAATCTTCACGAATATTGCTATAACAGAGTTTAGTACATACATACATATATACAGTACAACAGATATTTATATATCAAGAATATTAAAAAATGCTGTTCCATTACGGGACACGAGAATAGTAAATACTGAATGGAAAGCTGCCTCTTCAGGAGACTTTCGATCTCATGCCATCAACCGTGTCCTAAGCAGTGACGCACTGCGTATGAGAATTCAATCGGTACACATAGTATGAGAATGTGCAAAATAACACAAGCAAATATTGCATTTTTAGTCAAAATCGAAACGTTTTCATTGTTTTCGGATTTTCATGGGTTTCATAGAATCTAACGAAATCATCACCCCTCACATGGCCAGAGGCTGTATCTTTCAATTTTGTACGCACTGAAAATTAGTAATATCGATGGTTTTTTCGAGTTCCGTGTATCTATCAAAACCAATAACACTTCTCAAAAGGCCGGAGGTTGCATTGTTTTCTTTCAATTTCTGCGCGCATTGGAAATTAATAATATACATTGCTCGATATAGTTTGGTCATATATCTACCTAATCTAAAGCGTACGATATACAAATGTAATATCTTGACCTTATCCACGTACGGCGTCTAACAATCGGATAAAGAAATCAGTTCAAGTTCAATCTGTTAACGGAAACTAAGTGTTAAGAAAAAAATTAAATATGTAATTATGTACTAAATTTTACACTAAATCTATCCCGAACAGATAGAGAAATGTTCAAAAAATAGAATAGCTCTAAAAACCAAACACATATTTATATAATTTTTGATAAACGAAAAATACTCTTATACAGAAGTATGTTATCTGATGCTTTTTTGTGATACAATCTGATTTGCCGAAACATTGGAAGCTTCACGAGGTGAAAATATTAATACATAGGATATAGTGGGTGATAAGATCAAATCCCCAAATATGAAGAAAAGTAAAGAAGGACGTTCACACAACATTCATGTAGCAATTTTTGAGTGGTCACTGTATTTTTACATTGTGAAGCTTATACGTCGATATTTCTATAGACATTTGATTTGGTTTCAGTCATATGATGAGATGTTTATCTTATTATCCCAGACAACCGTGTCCCAAAGTTAAAATGTTTGTTAATTTATTTTTACGAAGTGGCAAATTTGAATATGACAAAAGTTTCCCTTCGTCGTCTTCTTGCATTTTTTCCCTTTTCCGAGTCAGAGAGCCCATAATCCAATCACCATCATCATACCGTAACTATTTTCGGTCTACCTCAGTTTCATCTTCTCCATATGGGACTCCATTTCTAGTTAATGGTTACTTTGATTTGTACTTTGATACCTTTTTTAGAGATTGTAAGATTTTGGTTCTTTTTATTTTTCCTTTATTCCTCTTTCTTCTATTTTATAAACACAAATTTTAAAAAAAGGGAATCGGTAATGTTTATAGTAGACTCATTTTGAAAATGACATAAATTTATGAAAAAAAGAAATAGTTCAAACGAATGTTTATTTATTTTTTCGGCAATGGTTTTTTCTACCCTTGATTTAATTTTTCCTTCCGATTTTTACACTCACAATGAACAAAACAAGAAACGCTTATTATATCAGTCTCTTAAAACACTATTTCGGAATACGTATTCCATCAATCACAACCCGTGAAGTCCCAATAGCACACGGCCTTGTACGAGACTCGGAAATGTACGAGACTCCTGAGCGGATACAAAATGACAATCTCTTGAGGTGCCCTCGCAATTACCAGTACTTCCTAGTTCTACTTCAAGAAACCAAAGCCTTTCTCGGGTAATTTAACTACCGTAGTACGCGACAAAATATTCTGAGCACAAATTAATTGTCTTGGAATAACTCCAATAACCTACTTACACCACGACTTTCTGACCTTGACGGTCTGTTGCTTCCATGCATCTTCAGAATATAATATATGAAACATTTTACAATCTACTTCCTTCATATTGGAGACAAGAATTAACACATTTCGGAAGTCTAACGTGACGCCACGCTAAGCCAAGTTCGTCACGCGGAGCAGACTTCGTCACGCCACCCACACACCCATTCCCTTCTCGTCATGCCTGCGAGCAGTTAACGATGTGCAAGTGTGACAGGCGTTGTGTCTCGATCTCTTTCGACGTTTCGACAGACGCGAAGAAGACTGCATATTTTCATTTATTTGTTGGTTGCATAATAGGACGTATAAAAGATACGAGTATGTTTGAAAGAAGAATTCATTCCATTTTTTAATGACTGCGACCACTTGAAAGTTTGTGTATAAAATGAAGGATCGACCTGGAAACAAATTTTATTTATTTACGTCAAAAACAAATACGTGCTATGGGGAGAAGTTAATTTGAAGTTACATTTATGTCCAGAAGCAAAACAAGAGGCCATTTCAGCATTTGCTCGAGGGTCAGGGAAACTGGACAAAAACCTGATCGAGACGAGGGTCATTGACCCAGAAGCTGAAGTACAATAATTGTTATAGGTTCTTCACAATTATACAATCCAAATGGTAGTTTTAATTTATTGGTGTTGTTTTTAATTACTTCTTACACTGTACTAAAATCAATTATATCCTATTAAAGCAACATAGCAAAATTTGATCATTCATTCTCTATCTTTCTAAATCAGGTATTAAGACTCATTAATTGTTAAACATATTTTTTGAATGATGTACCAAATATTCTACACTTGGATTACTTCAAAATACGAATCGTTAATTATTGCAATATATGGTTTTTAAATATTGAACTGTTATTCTCTCCCAAAAGCCTTAATGACATTACAATTTTCTGATAATCTGATTGGCTAAATATTAACATCACGTTTGTATGACGCAACTTAAATAAAGAATATCGACAGCATTCGAACAGTCTAGCTCATGCGCATACTTAAATGAAGAGCCACTTGATAATACCGGATAATGCCTAGAGAGAAGTAAGTATTATAATAATACATGTTTTGGAATGACAATTTTAAATTTTATTTGAACAATAGATTTCCATCGTATTTTGGAAACTACCCCTGCTATAAAGTTCTCTGATATTGAACTTAATGGCACTGAAGATAAACCAAAAAAATTATACTGGTTGTCAACTTATAGAAAGCTACTAATATATTTATTTGTACGATTCATGGATCAATATCTTCTCTATTGTTGTAATTTCCTTTTATAGTTAGTTAAAAAGCGAATGAAACTTATTTAATTAGTCCCGCTTAGGGTCTTTGACCGACAAAATATATTTCAGATTTCAAGCGTCCTCGATTTTCCATTTCGAGATACATTTTAAATCTATTATTGTCAGTGTTATCTTCCCTGGGCCAATTCGGGAGAGCTGGCGATTGGCTGACGTTTGAAGCTTTTATCTCTTCTTGTATAATTCGAATGCCCTTGAATCGGAGTACACGAGCGGCCTTGAACTGTATCAGAAGCGTGTAATTAGTGAATAAAAACCATTTCTGGCAAATTTTATTGCCCTAAGAGAACGTTCGTTTTATCGCGGAATTGATAGGCCCCGATTTGTCAATACATTGAACACTGACAAGAAAGTGATGTAAAATGTCGCTTTAATGCAATGAAAGAACACTCAGATTGGGTCAAAAACTATATTTT